CAGGTTTTTTTCTTTTCTCCTTTTTTTTCGTTTTTTTGGTTTCCCCTTTTTCCAGCTGGGGTGGAAATTTTTTTTTTTTTTTTTTTTTTTTTTTTTTTTTGCTGTGTGTGCTGAATTAATTTGAGACTGGAAATGGATCAGAATGTGTTGCACACTTCTTCATCCTGCCAACTTCTTAGTGCATGTCTGGTCAGGAAGCTGGAGCACTGAGATCCAGAAAGCAGCTGGGTTCTGGAAGTTCAGTCTGGCTTAATCCTCCATATTTCTTTGGTTGTTACAGCTGAAATTATGAAGTAATCCATGACTGATGTTTTAAAATGAGAATAAGTTGCTGAAGTGAAGAGTTCAACAAATGAAAGCAGCCGTAACTGTGCTTGAACCTGGTGAGTTACAGTAATATCTTCAGTCAGTCGCATGAACTGGAATATCTTGGTAGTAGTGGGAAGTTTGTGGCGCAAATGCCGTATTTTCACTCTGTTACCATAATTTAAAACTGAAATGTATGACTTCGGAGTTTATTTAGAATAGAAAAGCAGCAGTTATTTTCACTACTGCTAACTTTCACAGCAATATGTTATTAATTATATTGAGCAAAGAATAAATAAAAGTTCAAGGTATTGGTAGCTTGTAAAGGAATATTGCACAAAATGCCCCCTCCTTCTGGTGTCTTGCTCTTTTCACTGGGAGAATTCCCAGCTCATCTCATCTGGTTCATTAGTCAGGCTGTCTGCTGCAGTAGCCTCGTCGCCCTGCAAATGGCTGCTTTTCAGATATCCTGCATAATAAAGTTCGCCAGTTATATTTTTAAACTGTGTCAGGGGTAATGCTCCTTGTGATCTAACATTATGACTATAAGAGGATTTACTACTGTAAATGTTTCCTAACAGCTAATGCTGTCTGGATTGAAAACGAGGGAATAGGGATGGGCGATATGAACATAATGTTTTATCACAATACAAAAGGATTTCTCCATTCATTGTCTGAAGGCTCAATGACCCCCATTTCCAACATCAGAGCGATTTCCTCCTCCATTACTGGAAGCATTTTCTGTGGAATCTGGTACATTCTTTGCCTTATTGGTATACACTTTCATGGTGTACAAGGTTTGTTGACTCAAGTTTCTCCTGAAAAGATCTGGTGGAATAATGGCTTGCATTTCTTTTTGCTGAGTTACAGAGAGATGAGAGAAATCAAATGAGACCGAATTAAGTCCAACAGGAGTAAACTCACCAACAACATCCTCCTTCTCAACTACAGCTTGCACAAACAAGTGCTGTTGGATTGGACTATCCCAGGTTTTCCATTCCTTTAGGAGACTGATGTGAAATGACTGTTCTGAATTTCGTCACTCAGGATCTCATAAGTTGTTGTACTTGGCTTTCACAGCACAGGATCCACCTTATTCCTGGGAGAGTTACTGTAGGAACAATTATGAGTCTTACTTCCAGTGCCCACCGGTAGTATCAGTATTTCTCTGTGCAATTTATAGCTTTTTGTTAATCTGTATTCATTCTAGATGCTACATTTCTCTTTTCCGTTATTGTAAAATATTAGGCAAAAATAGTGTTAAGTAAGATGTCCTTTCAGAGCTCAGGTATGTATTGTGCTGTCTGTAGCTGTACTAATGATGAGACCAAGTTGAATTTGTGGTTGCAATAAGTAAGTTTTGA